ATTTAAATCATTTGTCTATTTTTGTTAACTAAAACCGAGTAAAAAAATAGTATTTTTATCATCAAACTCAATATAGATACATATAAATATAAAATATTTAAAATACTCATTTTCATTGAGTTTAATGACTAAAATACTATTTTTTCTATCAATTTTACTTAACGGAAATAGACAAATGATTTACATTGCAAATAAATTAAAAGTTTAGAATTTAAATTGACAAAATTTTGAGATTTTTTTTTTTTTTGTAATTTGTCCAATTTTAAATAATGTATGCCCATATATCTTAAATGATTTATATATATATTTTTTTTCTTTTCTTTTTTTAGAATAGAAAATGATTTATATTCAATAGATTAAAGCTTACTTTATAGACATCATATACCATGAAACAGTTTGAAGTGATAAGATTTTATCATTATTATTATTTTTTTTTTGAGTTCTTATAATTTTTGCTTTCTTCTCTTTTTCTTATATATATATGTATATAATTCCGTTTGTTTCGAAAGGTGAAATCAGGGAGATCTGAAAATCACATTTTCACTTGCATCAAAATTCCTACCGTCTACACTAAGTCAAAAAGTAAAAAAAAAATTTGACATGTACAAGTAGGGCTGTAAACGAGTCAAATTGAGTCGAATTTTAGTATGTTTGAATTTATTTATTAAGATTTTAACAAGTTTGAGCTCGAGCTCAACCTGAATAAAAATTTAACGAACCGAGCTCGAGCCGAGTTGGCCTAGGCTCGACTTGAGCTCGAGCTTGTTCAGGAGCCTTAATGAGCCAAAAAATTTATAAATTCATACTTGCATGTGAGACTAAAGTTACAATTAAAACTTTGGTTATATAATTATCTATATAATATATATAAACAAACTAAAAAAAATTCATATTTTACTAAAATAATAATATCTACTACTACTATTATATAAATGTAATATCTATAGTTAACTATTATTTACATTTATATTTTTTAAATATATAAATAGTATATTTCTCTTATTTTTTATACATATTTTTATACTATTTAATATATAAATAATAAATATTAAACGAGCCAGCTAACGAGCCGAGCTTACGAGCCGAGTTTTGGAATGTTTGGGCTTGTTTATTAAAAATTTAACGAGCTCGAGCTCGAACGCAAAAAAAAATTAACGAATTGAGTTTGAATGAGTTTTTACCGAGCCAAGCTCGAGCCTATTCACGAACAGCTCTGTTCATTTGTATCCCTATGTACAAGGGGAAACAAATTAGTTTTGCTCTTCTTACTCTTGGAGATGACATTCTCTTCACACACAGGTCGAGTCAATGGATTTTGGTAATCTTTTCACAACTGGATGTTAGAATTAATTTATGTGCATTTTGATAAATTTGCAGTGACCTTTTTGTATGACTCAAATTTGAAACCTTAAATCATATCTTATTACTAAGTCAAAACCCCTTGGATCCTTATTTTGGTAATCTAAGTGTTCGTTTTGTACATCTTTGTATGTAGATTTATTATATATATAATTATATTGATTTGATAATTATATCTACATAATTTTTTTTAATCATATTTGTCTTAAAAAATTGCTGATAAATATGATCCTGAAAATATATTATTTGTTTTAAAAAGTAAAAATGAAAAAATCATGTTGTCAAAATTATCAAAGTAATAACTTTGTCGAATTCATATCGCTAGAATTGAACCCATGGAACCAATGAGGCTAGCTCATTTGGCTATAATATCTTCATCTCAATAGGAGGTCAGTGATTTGAATTTTTTTAAAAAAATTTGAACCCGGGATGAATCACAACGTCACTAAGAACCATTTAATAACGATTACCGATACATAAAAATAATCGGATCACATTACTTCTCTAACTTTTTAACGCAAAAAAGTCAAAAAGTCACAAAAAAAACTAAAAAATTAGCTTTTTATCAACTTCCCAAAATACCACTATATCGGGTTTCACTCACCCATGTATTATTTTATTAATTAATAATACTATATATTAATAATTTCATGGTATAATTGTTATATTGAATTTTTACTTTAGTTTGGACTTGGTAAAACGGAGAGAAGCTAATCTATTACCAATATGTCTGAACTTGTCCCCTAATATCAAAAAATGATCTTGAAATTTTCTTTATTAGTCAATAACTGTGGTTTTGCAATCTACAACAAATTAATACCAATTATTGCAATGTAATTACGTTTTCACTCTTCAAATTTTTAATAGATTAATTACTCTATTAACATTTGTATGCAAAAGAACATTTAGAAAGATTTCATGGGATTATAATTGTCATTTTGTTTTCTAATATTTTTTTTGGGATAAATTATATTATTCTTTTTTGAGATTTACCGAAAAAATACAATAAGTTCTATAATTTTATTATAATTATACAAACCTTCATTTTGGTAATGTTAAAGAGACCATAAAGTGAAGAGAGACACATTACAAGTTAAAAATATATTCCTTCCGTCTCAAAATATTAATATCTTATTTTATTTTTTATTATTCCAAAATATTAGTTGTTTTTCAAAAAATAAAGACTAAAATAACATGAATTTCTTGTTGGTCTTTCTTCTAAATTCATTAACTATGACAATTGATGTTTCCAAAAAAAAGTTAAAGGGTAATTTTGAAAAAATTATAATTTTTGAAATGTAATAAGGGTAATTCTATTTACACATTATAAATTGTCTCAGTACATACCATTGAAATATTAAATTTATATTACAAAAATATCCTCAAATACAATGGTTATTAAGGACAATAATGGTGTGTATTCTATCAATCCAAAGAATCATGCATCACACCATCACATACAGACATATAAACAGTGTATATTTCTTTATCATCATATTCTTCATTATAATCTAACACACTATACTCATGATATCATCACTTATCAATTAGTTTATTTCACTCTTTTCTCCATTATGCTTTTATTCCCAATTCAAAATATTATCACTTTGCTTGTTTTTGGTTTTCCAAAAATATTTTTTTAAAAATTCTGTTTTCTTATTTTTCATGTTTTTTTTATTGAATTTTTTAAATATTTTAAGCATTTTTTTTTAATTTTTCAAACACCTAACATAAATATACATAAAAAGTATAATTTTTGTGAAAAAAATCTTATAAAAATTTACTAAATACCAAAAATACAAACAAAAAGAAATGAGAATTCAATATATTTTTCGTATTTTTACATATTCATTAATTTTTTTAAAATATTTTTTTACAATTTTTTTACTTTTTAAATACATCTAAGTAAAGTACATCTACAAAAGTAAAAAAAAATGCTTAAAAATTTTAAAAATTTTAAAAATTTCAAAAAAACAAAAAGAACACGAAAAATAAAAAAACTCAATTTTCAAAAAACTTAATCCAAAAAACTCAAACCAAACACACACATTATCTTTGAAGATTTAGAGTTTAAAAGCTTTGGAACCAATCGATTTTAAAGATTTGCACATTCTGGATGGTACTCAAATTCTTATTTTGGAATAAAGCTTCAATGAAAATTGTAATTTACTACTTACAAAGGCAATTTTATTTTTTGTTTTTCTTATTCGTAAAACCACTAGAATGATGGTTTTGTTCGTCACACATTCAAATTAAGCAGAGTTGAACATTTACACAATGTTCAAATATTTAAATACGAACAAAACTATTTCATTCAAATTATTAAGATTGACGAAACATTAAATGTTCATATATAAAAAACTGCACGTGATAAGTCTGAACAAGTTGAGTTGTCCAGTATAAAAAGTATGAACTTATTAATTTTGTTCAACAAAAACATTTTGAGCATATTTAATTTGTTCAATTTTATTTTGTTGTATAATAATAATATGTTTAGACAATCAGTGTCAAGTCAAATTCGAAATAGAAATAGTTATGGAAGGTGAATTGCTAAGCAAATAAAAAACACATAGAAAAAACTAAACCAGGTGAGGTTCAAAGCTAAGAATCATAGATATTCAAAAGTCAGAATCCAAGATCTTCAATGTCGGCGATCGTTTCATTGATGTGTCATCACCACCGATGTATAGTTATCGTGAAGATGAGGGTGAATTGTGTACATGGTGTGATGTGTATGGTAGTGTGCATTGAGATTTATTCTTTTTGTGTCTTAGGATAAAAATGAAAGATTGTGGTGTGTTTTGAGTAAAAAATGAAAGGTGTAAACTAAGTAATTGTGTGTACTGAGAGAATTTATAATGTGCAATAAAATTTCCCATGTAATAATTGTACTATCAAAAAAAGTTAGATTTTTCAAAAGAAACTAATATTTTGGGATGGTTGCAATATATTTTAGTGTAAAATAAATGACATTATTTTTTTATTAAGTGTTATGGGAATTAAAATTTTTAAATAGCTTAATATAATTATGTCAAACTCTTGGAATTTACGGTATTTTTTTCAATTCTTAAAGAAAGATAATACAATTAGGGCTAAAAACGAACCGAGTTGAACCGAGTAATAGGTTGTTTAAACTTGATTTGACAATTTAACGAGATTAAAATTATATTTAAACTTTACTTGTTTACCTAATAAACTGATTTCAAATGAGTTTTTAAAGAGCTGAATACGAGTCGAGCTCGAGTGGCTTGGTATTTTATAGTGCATATAAACTTATTGAACCGACTAGTAATTTGTTTAAATTAAACTTCAAAATTTAATGAGTTTAAATTTATATTTAAGCTTGACTCAATTTATTTAACGAGTTAATTTCAAATGAGACAAATATGAATCAAGCTTGAGTAACTTGATTGTTTAATACCCGTTAAATATAATATCTATATTTTTTAAATGTCCATTTCATTTACAACTCAGACCCTTAATTTGTTGAGCAAGAAAAAATTAAATGAAAATAAAATAAAAAGGACCCTTTGTTAAATCCAATCAATATACTGATATGTGTGAAAGGAATTGCCTTTTTCTCTTTTGTTTCTCTGAAATCTATTTATGTATGGAAAACAAGAGAAACAAAAAAAAATAAATAAAACAAAAAACCAAAAATTAACGAAGCATCTCAAGCTAACTACTCTCTCTTTCTCACACTGAAAACCAAAAACATGTAGAGAGAGAGAGAGAGATAGACATCAATGTCCATGTTTCTTACTTTTCTTGCCACATTGTCTTAAACAAAAACACCAACCCACACAACAGTTTCATATATTTCTCATCACTTCTCACACAAACAAAACAAAACTCTCTATTTCTCTCTTCCTATTCGAAGTGCTCACTATAGCATGCTCCAAACACCACACACATACCATTGACACACTGTAACTTTCTTTACACCTTTGCATGTTTTTCTTTTCACAACTATTTCATGATCTGTTTGTGCCCCGTGGTGTTTTAATCTTGTTCTGAAAAATGGGTATTGGTTTTACTTTGAATTCTAATGATTTTTCTTTGATTCTTGATGTTTGAAGGTAAAGGGTTTCTGGGTTTTTGATTCAATTGGGTCTTTCTGCGCTGATGGCTCCTGGTAGAGGGTACAAAAAAAAGAGGAAGGTAGAGAAGAAGGTTCAAACAAACCCTTCAGCTTCTGGGTCCTCTGAAGATGGGTCTGTGGATTGGTGGGATGTCTTCTCCAAGAGGATTGCTGGTATATACATATATAGTATATATATTTTTTATTTCTGTATTGTCTCTGCTATGTTGGTTTGTGTGTTGGCATAATTTTTATATGTATATTGACATAGATTGCTCTTAGACATCACTCAATTGCATTTGAATGTGGATATGTTGGAATTATCAGTATTTGATGGAATTTCAATTGATTTGTTGAATTCAATATTTGATAATTTCATTAGCTTGCTGCTTTACCTTTCATTGAAGCTACATCTCAATGTATTGCAAATGCATTTTGGTAAAGCAAAGAAGAATCCCTAATCTGTCTTTTTCTGCCGCTTCGAGTAATGTTTTCTTACCTAATATTTTTGTTTTTTTATGAATTTTTCTGACAAGGGATAGAAAAGATTTGAGATTATCTGTTTATTGGCCGTGTTAACGGAAATTGAAGATAGGAGCGTTGTCTAGGTCGGTCCTTGACAATGTTCAGAATCTAGTCTACCTAACTTAAGTGGAATCATGAAGAGCATTCATTTTCATGGTTGTTCAATAGGAAATTCGACGGGATGTCTTCGCACTGATAATGTTGAATTGATCTTGAAATTAATAGGGCAGTTGAGATATAAGAGATTGAATGATTTGTTTCTATAATCAATCTAACTTTACCATTGAACAAATAAGTTTACCTCATTGGGCCCTCTGGAATAACATTTCGAATTCCTTTCTCTTGTACCACTAATGTGTCCCCATCCTCCAAAGAGATATTGCAAATGTGCATAAATTTTGCTTGTATTTCCTCTTTTGGCAAGATGCAAACCTAAATTCAACCCTAACGATCCAATCCCATCTCAACGTAAGCCAAGACTGGGGTTGCTTTCACTATGTGCTATTAGAAAGTTAACGAGTTTAGTCCTTTAAAATATTATTAAATTTTTTTTTTATCATCAATGTTGAATTTTTAAGTTGTAAATGTATTGTGCGGGTAATTATTGCTAAATTTCTAGTACTAGTTGTAAAAACAATGGCTTATTCTATGAAGACGAATTTTCTGTTACCTAATTCTATTCTGTATAGGTCACAAATTGTTCATGTGATGATATTTTGGGCCCTGTTGCTTACAAGTTTGTAGATAGTACTTGATCTGTTTTCTTATAAAATGGGGCACATCTACTGAGTTAATAGGCTTATCGTGGTCAGTTTAAACTCTTTGCTTGTTGATCTTTTGTTGCATTTCAATTTTGCTAATGTTAGTGGTTTAGAAATCAAGATATGTTTGAGGTTTTGGAACAGGTTTTGGTGTTAATTGAGTAGATATGTCAAAATGTGAATATCAAATGTCTTAACAGATTGGAACTTTGTGATGACAATAGTTAAGTTTTACTTTTATGTGAAAACTCCCAGCCCAATTTTGTGTGAAAATTCAGAGTCAGTTAGCAATTCAGTAATGAAGTCATGGATAAAGTAAAACTATCAGGAACTTTAAAAATAATCTTGTCCTTGATCTTAGAATATTTTGAGGCTTGAAGGGAAGTTCTTCCACTTCATATTGTATGTTGTGAACAAGGGAACTTGACTTCCAAACTGCTATTTGATAATCAATGTTGAGCTGGCAAGTAGGAGACCAGCTCTTCTAAATACTTTATGAATTACATATAATGAAGATAGCATATAGTTGTTTATTGCATATTAGTGTAATAGTAGATTAATGTATGGGTAGTCTCAAAATGGACCATCCAGTCTATAGAAGGAAGCTTATCTAAAATGCAGTAATGCGAACTACCTTTTAGTGCGGATGAGTGGGTTGGTTTACTTGGTTGCTGGTTGGTGCTGGAACATTTAGGGTCTACAAGAATGATAAGAAATGTTTCCCATATATTAGTATTTTACATGTTTTTTTAGCTTAGCAACAGCCATGGTTTAACGTCACTTAGATCATCTAATAAAATTTTGTTACAAATTTTTTTTGTTCATAGAGAGAATATGGTGGAAATTGGTATTTATAGCACACAGGAACCTTTATCCTTGTTATCTAAGACTTTGCAAATTAAGAGGCATAGATATTAAATTTTGTTGTTTGAAGGAAACGTAAATTGATCTGATGAAGATCCCTATTTTTCGTAGTGTCTCTTATGATAGATTTCTACATTAAAATGCTACGTTAAAAGTGACTTAGGCCATTTATATTCAAATGAGCATGCTTATCTTGTGCTTTCCTTGAACTTCCATGCTGAGGAACTCCTGCTCTTGTCTGTTCCATTTGATGGAAACCCTGCCTAGGAGATTCTTTATTTATTTATTTATTCTTTTTTTTTTTTGGGGGGGGGATAAGCACACTGGTATGCATCCTTAATTGCACGGACTTGATGTGACTTTGTTGTACCTTCATATTGAACTTTTTGAGGTATGCCAAAACATTGAGATGCATTTCTTTAAACCTTCAAGGTTTTTCTTTTTGGATAATGGAACCTTCAAGGTTGACAAATGTAAATTTTGCTTTTATTCATAGATCAGAACTGAAAAAAAGTGTACAAAGTTTCTTTGTAAATCTAAGAACTGAAAAATGATCATCTGACTCATACAAACCTAGAAGTCCACATCTAGACTGGAGAAATTCGGTGTTGTTAGCCTATATGCTTGGGTGAGTACAGGGAGGAGCACAACTTTTTTCCTGCCAACTTTAAAAGATATATTCATGTCTTCATATCAGTAGATTGCTAACTTTAGACGACTATCATTAAAAGGATAGTTGGCATGTTAGCACTAATTGTACATTCTTTTTCTTAGGTGATTATTGATTATAATATGTGTGCAGAAATATCAGGAGATTGCTGACTTCAGGTGCAAGTCAATGCAAGTATAGAAGGCATGTAACATGTTAGCTACTAATTATACCTTTGTTTTATTAGGTGACTATGTAATTATAATATGTGTGCAGAACTGCAAAATGAGGGCCAAGCTTTCTAGAATTTACATTAAACTATGCATAATGACAGAACTTCCCAAACTTTAAACAAAGCTAGATTGATGTAGAGTTGATGACTAGGTGATAGCTGTGTTGCCTGAAAATGCTAATACCCTCACGATTTACACTTTGGAATGCATGTTTCAACACATGGTATAGCTTCATTCCAAAACATGAATTAGTATTCCAAAGCAATCACCAAACATATGGGTGGTTTCAATATGAGAAGGTCAATTAGTTGGAGTCTACGAAGCACATTGCTTGTATGGTTATTTCTAATTTAAATGGTAAGAAATGCAGTAAAAATTAATCTGTCCGAAGTTCACTTATCAGATGCATCAATGTGCACCAGAATATATATATATATATATATATGGGTTTAGAAGCATGTGGTATAAGCTCTGTTATCAGAATCTTACGATTCGCGATTCGCTAAAAAAGAAAAAAAGGTAAGATGGTGATCTTACATAGGAACCTTTGTTACCTTCTTACTTATTAAACTACGTGATTATCATTCAAAATAATATTTTCATAAATTTAAGTCTAAATATTTTATATTCATAAGATATATTTAACATCTAAATGTGTAGATATATGTTTTAAGTAATTTAAAAAAAATGACCGAATCTTTACGATTCACGATTCGATTCGATTCGCGATTCGGTACGAGGTCATTTCGATTCACGATACGAATCCCGATTTAACAACTATGGGTATAAGGTAAATCTTATTATTGTAGTTGAAGGTGTATGCTCAAGTGGTGCAGCTTTGATACATGGAAAGTGGAAAAAATTGTCTCTTGTATTCCACAACTGAAAGTCTTGCTCGAGGACAAAGAATCTGAAACTAAGAATATTTCATTGATTGCGTAAGGCAGACAATTGGAAGTCAAGATTGGGGAAATTTTCAGGGCATATGATGGAAAACTAGCGGTGTGACTTGAAGAAGTGGTGTTTTAAAAGACTGAACTGTTCAATGAACTGCAGAAGGCAGTTCAGTGGACAAACTACCAACCGAGTTAGATGACTTCTTGGTCTAAAAGAATAAATCCAAAATATTTTCAAGATATTGACTAAATTACATGTGTCAATAACATATGTTTAGAATATATTCAGTTTCCTTCTAAATTTAATCAGTAACCAGCTTATATTGTGGAGTGGTGGTTCCAAAGCCTGTTAACTTGATCAGAATTTGGTTTTTGTTGGTCATACTGTCGAGTTACTCTAGAGTCTAGCTTCTAGAACACATATGAGCTAGCTCCCAAAGTTCGTTTAATGCCATTGACCGGACCTATTTCCACTTATGTTTTCCTAAATTATAGCTGATCAGACATGCCCTGGTTTCTGATGGACTTATGGTTGCATTGATGAAAAACACATCGGGGCTTATTGGTTTGTAGTTCTACGTTATGTGATGACACTAATAACATGATATTCGTAGCCCAATACCGGGACAAGGTCTTCAAGGAGCAACCTCAAAATACAGAAGCAAGATGTGGCTTTTATGTGGAAGAAATTTTTTGAGACTCAATGCTTGTAGGAGTATCTTGAATGAGTTGTAACATAGATCTCATTTGGTTATCTGTTCTAGTATTAGTGTCTAACTGGAGGTCCTCTTTTGCAACCAAATTTCTTTATTTATTTACAATCATTATTATTTATTATTATTGTTGTTGTTGCTGTTATTGTTCTTATTATGATCTCTCTTGCTTTTGTGTGTGTGTGCGTGCACTAATGTTTTCATTATTGCGGATGGTTACTGCTCTGTTTTGTCTTGATCATTTCTAGCTTCTAGGTAGTTATTAAGAACTATTGTGAGGATTTACCAGCTCATTATGTTTATGTGTCATAACAACCCTAATACCTTTTAATCCTTTTCCTTTCTTTGGTCTTGTTAAAAGGTGGGGGGGAGGTAGTTATTAAGAACTATTGTGAGGATTTACCAGCTCATTATGTTTATGTGTCATAACAACCCTGATACCTTTTAATCCTTTTCCTTTCTTTGGTCTTGTTAAAAGGTGGGGGGGAGGTAGTTATTAAGAACTATTGTCTTACATGATAGTGTAATTTCAACTACTCTTATATGATAGTGTAATTTCTTGAAACTTAGTAGAGACATCACCTGAAGCATTAGGCAGGCGACAGGATATTGCTCAAGTATTTTCTAGATTTTTTTCTTGAAACATTAATTTTATTTTCCTCCTGAAATCATTTGTGTTTGAAGTTATTACTTGTACATGAACGGTCTTTTTAAGGATTTTGGTGAACAGAAATCCTCTCTTTCTTGGTACGGAAATACATTTCAACCATTGTGTGCTCAAGAGTTTTTGTTCTTCTTTCTTTTTTTTCTTGTTATGTTTTTTACATAAATCTTTTGAGGAGAGCTTTTATTGAATTGCTGGCAACCTATATGTCCATGAAAAAATTTTGAAATAGGAAAAGGTTAGACATGAAATCAACATCTCAGATGCATAACATGGCTTATTTAGGCATATTATGGGTTGTATGTTAGATTTGACGGTCTCACCTCAAAACTTGCAGTATAGGTTCCAGTGAAATAGGTTAGAAGCAATTCTGACAGTGAAAAAATAAAAAACATATTTTTGGGGCATAATTTTTGCATAAATACAAATTGTGTTGGTAAAAACATTTTATCTTTTTCAAAAGGGTTAATTTTCTATTATTTTCTTCTGTTTTAACCCATCACCAGTACGAAGTGGAGTAAACAAGTTGCTACCTGATTTCAATAAAATCTTAGAAATACTGCACTGTATCAGTCAGTCTTCCATGAAAATCATGCATCTATCTAGTGATTCATTTTCAATTTAAGCAGCTCATCCACCTCCTCTATTGTGCTAAATTGCAAGTTCCTGGGTTTTTAGGGTATGATTGGTCGTGGAAAAACCTATTATGTTCCTTTTTGCCTTCTTTGAATGTCATATTTGTTGTATCCCTTATTTATTTATTTATTTGTTTGTTGTTGTTGTTGTTGTTGTTGTTGTTCTTCTTCTTCTTCTTCTTCTGTTTATTTTGTCAACAAGTATGTAAATTATCGGTAGGGAAAAAAAAAAAAGCATTATTATTCACTGGTTGGCCCGTCGTTCTCCATGACTAGCTGATTCTATTACTGACATAATTGGCCAATCTGTTGCCTCGTTGAATTTAGCTTCTCCGTTGAATGAGAAACTACTTCCAGAAGATGGATGGAAATAAATAAGGCTCCATGCTTTCAGTTATACCAAGGGTTATCTATGAACTGCCATTTATTTGTATTTTTCAATCCTTTTCTCTTCAGATATATTTATTATAATTGGGAGGAACTAACAGTCTCCCAAAATGGAAGCTGAAATTCCTTGGGCTTGAGGACTCGAGAGCACTTGGTAAAAGAAAGTAAGCAATTGATTAAAAACTGCTTGTATTTATAGAAAAATTTCAAAAAAATGTTTCTTAATAGTAAGGGGTGTTGCCTTGAAATAGAGAAGATTTCACCTAGATGTTTTCCGGGAAAGAAAAATATTTCAGAATAAGGGTGATAAGATGGTTGTTTCCTTGTTTGGTTTGCTTGGCAAAGACTTGTAGTATGTATGTTGTAGAAACAATGAACACATTCTGTTAAGCATGAATGTAAGGTCAAACGTATGACATTGAATCTGTTTTGGTTAGTATAAACTAGTGATTAACTGTCATATTTGATAAAATCTTGCTTTCTAATTGATTTAAGAAGACCCAAGTTTTTGTGTTGATACGGCTTGATAATTGTATCATGTGAGCATGCTCTACAATCTGTACTTCACATATATCTGTTGGGATTATTAATTTTCAACATGAAGTGTTATCAACCTTTTATGTTCATCCCTTCATTCACAGTCAGCTTTGCCAAATTTTCCTTGTTCTGCTAACCTAAGCTTCTGCGATACCTCCTATTTGTTTGTACATTTGCTTTATACAAATTAATACTGTTTGTATATTTTGGAGCTCACATTTCAGTTCCTAAGTTGGTAAAATTGTGGGATTCAAAATGATGATTACTCGAGAAAGAAAAAAATAAAAAGAAAAGAAAAGAAAAAGAGGACATTTGCGGCTTTTTTGGTATTGTTTTGTGTGTGAATGTTTTGCATTTACAAATGCTTGACGTCTTCTTTTTCCTTCTATCGTCAGGTTTTTTATCTTCATCAGAAGGTTTGGATAAGTTTGAGTCTGTGTTCAAGATATCCAGAAAAACTTTCGACTATATATGTTCGCTTGTGAAGGAACATATGATGGCCAAGACAGGAAGCTTCATGTTTAGCGATGGAAAGCGAATGTCTTTAAATGATCAAGTAGCTGTAGCTTTAAGAAGGCTAAGTTCTGGTGATTCACTAATTTCCATCGCCGATTCATTTGGGACGAATCACTCGACAGTCTCTCAAGTGACCTGGCGTTTTGTCGAAGCAATGGAAGAAAGTGGGCTCCACCACCTTCAGTGGCCTTCCACAGAGCAAGAAATGACAAACATAAAATCCAAGTTTGAGCAAATCCGAGGCCTTCCAAATTGTTGCGGGGCGATTGACATCACGCACATTACCATGATGCTGTCTTCGTCCGAAAAGGCAAATAACGTGTGGCTTGATCGTGTGAAGAACCACAGTATGATCTTGCAGGCAATCGTGGACCCCGATATGAGGTTCCGGGATATAGTGAGTGGATGGCCTGGGAAAATGCATGATTTTGATGTGCTTCAAAACTCGACTTTCTTCAAGCTGTGTGAGCAAAGAGAGAGGTTAAATGGGAACAAAATGAAGCTCTCGGAAGGAACAGAACTAAAGGAATACATAGTTGGTGATTTGGGTTTTCCATTACTACCATGGCTCGTCACGCCTTATCAAGGAAAAGAGCTTCCCGAATCCAAGGCTGACTTCAATAAGCGACTTTTTGCAACGCGTGTGGTGGCACAGAGGGCATTGGCGAGGTTGAAGGAGATGTGGAGGATAATTCAAGGAGTGATGTGGAGACCCGACAAGAATAGGTTGCCGAGGATTATCCTTGTATGCTGCATTCTTCACAATATTGTCATCGACATGGAAGACGAGGTGCTTGATGGGTTGGCTTTGTCTCACCACCACGACCCCAATTACAAACAAGAGATTTGTGAATCTGTTGACAATACTGCCTTGGTTGTGAGAGATAAGTTGTCTCTCTACTTGTCTGGAAGACTGCCACCTTGAGTGGTTATATTGTCTGTCCAATTCATAGTTAGAAGAGCTTCAAACAGGACATCGTTGCACAGAAAGAAGATTAAGGTGAATCAGACATTTGGATTTGATTCTAAGGTTGTAAATAAACTTGGACAAGACAGTCCATGGCTAGGCGCAACCTGCGAGTTCATAAGGTAAATGGCTGAGAGTACCAGGTGAGAGGGAGAGATTTACAATAAAACAGTGAACTGCTTTATAGAGTTCTAGGGTTTAGTTTCTATAATTTCTATAGAGAGTTGGACTAATCTGGTTTTTAGTTGTTTATTGAACATTTGAGTCTCTGTTCTTTGTTTGTGAAGCACATGAATTGCATGGGAGGTAAGCTTCCATCGCTGCTTTGAGTTTCTACTTTTCTCTTTTCTCTTATCTTTTTGTTTTTTGTTTTTTTGTTTTTTTTTTTGGAAGGTGCTTTTCAGGTCTTATATCTTTGTTATTTGGGTATTAGTGGTGATAGAATAATCACAGTTGTCTGGCAAAAATGGAATCGGTTAACTCTTGAAAACAAGATGTCTTTTTTGCTCAAGTCTTGCCAACCAGATTTTAAACTGGTACCAAATTGGTACTGAAAAGCCCTACTGACCCTTCCAAGCCCGAGAGCAAATGATGATTTGGAATACAGTTACTCTTTTTTGACCTCCATTGGCAAACTTTGTTGTGTTCATGGCTATCTTCAGCAATAATAATATTTCTGAAGGTTTTTAAAGAGCATGACTTGTTGGTTGAGCGTTTAGCACAAACCAAGCACCGTGTCTCATTTCTAATTTTTTTATTTAATTGATTCTGAAAACAACATGAACACAGTTAATTCCAGAGAGCAAACCAAAGCAAAACTAAATTAACATTTTACTAGAAACTCTATCTCAGCTGAACCTCGAAAATTGACATAGTCTTTCTTTACAAGGCCAGTGAGGGTGGCAGATCAACAAAATTTATAGAGTGGTTAGGGGATAACCAAAGTTAACAACTACGACTAAAGACTGTACAAAGTCAAAAAACACAACCCAATTTACATCAGCCGTGATCTAGCCTCCCACAAAATTGAGCTGAGTTTCCTTGATCTAGCATTTCCCCTGAGAGTTTATCTGCCGCAAATCATTTTCACTGCAAAAAAGATTGCATCGAAGACGTCCAATGAGCTTTTAAGATTTTAATCAACACATTGGAGATTCCCACAAAGAGACTATGTTCGTGATCATATCAGGATGTATATTCTATGGCAACATTACTCCGAACTGTACCTATGAGATGATTCAGAGGTGCAAGTTTAGTTGATAATGAGAACAGTGAACATCATTCACGCTGAGTTTTGGATAAACCAGAGAGTAAATACCTTCACCATTCAAAATCTGGTGCAGCACAATTTCCATCATTGATGGATAGCGTAAATCTATTGGCCCATTGTTGTTTTACAGGTTCTGGAACCATTGATTCCCCTGTGAAAGGATTCCATGTACACCCTCCATGATCAGCAAGAACCCAATTGATTTTAGCCGGTGGCTTGTCAGAATCTGATGTTGAAATCTTCACCTTATCTCTGGAAATTTTCTTCCGTGAACCAAAATTCTGTGACAAAAACAGGAATAGATATGGTCATCAAGAACAAGAGCACAATGGACTCTACTTTGATCTTTGATTCGAAACTGAGTTTGCTATTAACTCACCTTAACACGACTGCACAATTTAAGCACCTGGGATAGAGGTGCATTGTCCTGGCACAATTCAAACACCTGGGACAAAGGTGCATTATCTTCCACTTCTGCTAGGTATCTCTCAACAGAAATCAGGGATCGGAATTGCCGTCCAGTCCCTGGTTCATAATAATACTGCATAACAAGATGAAATTTTGGTAGCTTCTGACAAGCAGTTTGCAATTGAATAAAAGATTGCTCAACTCTTCAGAAATGAATAAGTGAAGTTATTGAATTTGAAGTTTTGAACATACACACGCACAGACAAGTGGAACATAAATTCCACTAATTTTTTTTATGTATCTATACCCTAATGCATTTTACTTGGTAAACCTTAATAATTTTTAGCCGTAGCTTTTAAAATAACAAGAAAACAAGCAGAGCAGAGAATCCATGTCTGTGTAAAAACTTGGTATTTTACAATTCTAAAAGCACAAGTCAAAAGTTTAAGTAGCCAGGCGAGGACACTGCCTTCTATTTAATCTTACTTCGGAAAGAAAACTAAATTGTAGAGATAGGACAGTACCTTGTCGGTGTAACCCCCGCACTTACGGGGTACCTCCTCCACAATCCAACCATCAGGGAGAACGAAGGGCGAAGTAGCTGCAGCAATGGTGGGGGCCACAACTGCTAATTGCCGTTGGTTAGATTCATCCTCCTCCAGCCTCAATAACTGCAGTGGCATCAGCATCAATGTTAAGGACCAGCCCTTCATGTTCGGGCTCTTGTTGAAAGTTGGAACTCTGATATTTGTAAGGTTTTCTAATATGGATATATCCAAAACTTCAGTTATATTCTACCTCTACAGCTAAAAGCCAAACAAAGAACATGTGTCGGTTTATTCTTCTCATTCGCAAGGGAGTATCACCTAAATTCAAGTGTCTTAAAATTATCTAAATAATTCCAGGTGTTTCATAATGCATGCTGGCAACTATCTGGCACATATCCTCAAAATAATAATAATAAATAAATAAATTCTAGTTTCAATACTATCATTTATATACAATGGAGGATAATTTCTGAAAATTGCTTTGAATGAACAAATTGTAGCAGAAAAAGTAAAATTATCATATTTAGTCAAGAATTAGGGTGTCCAATATTTCAAAATTTGGACGAAAATGTATAGGTGTTTCAACAATCTTTTCCAGATGGCTGAGCAATAGATGTACTGATAAAAGGCTCTATTTATCTCCTCTAGGATGCTAATAGGGATCCTGTTTCTGGTAAGTCCTTTGGCAAAAGTCGAAGGTTGAACTTTACCATTCCCCGCGAAACGATCATTTTTCGTGATCCAGACCTCTGTAAAAGTAAAAAAGCAGCACACTTAGGCATGGTCAAGGCTAACAGAAGGAACAAACTTAAAACTTCAACAGGAAGATAAACAACTCTTGAACTCACCCTAACATGATTACGCAATTTCAATAACATGATTCAACTCTCTATCCCAGGAAGATAAGCAACTCTTGAACTCACCCTAACATGATTACGCAATTTCAGTCTCTTGCGTGGCTGTGTGTATTCCTCTCCTGTTAGGTACCTCTCAACAGCTTTTAGTGATCGAAACTTCTGTCCAGTCTCCGGCTCATAGTAATACTGCACAATGGGATAGTAGCAGATCTATAGTTGCAGGCTCACATCATACATTTGAACAAATCAACTTCAAAAGAAAATAACTATAATTCAAGCTAACACTAGAGTGGCAGAAGTGGGCTTTAGAGTGGCTAAAGTTTTTTTAACAAAATAATTTTATTTACTCAATAAGCTGACTTTTAAACTGCCACCAAACAAAGCCAAGTCATATTTACACAGTACGGTTATTATTTTTAGGGGAATTGCAAATCAGCTGTAAGTTGGCAAAACAATTGCAAAGGTACAAATGTCCGATGCAACTGTGGCATGACATACAACTTTCACTTGCACCTACTTGCTCCGTGAAAGTGTGATTATTTTGTCAACAAATTTATGCATACAGATCCAAATCAACACAACCAACACAACCGAAACTGTAAGTTCCAAAATCAATAGCAGAAACAAAGAATATAACAAATAGAGACATGTAAATGCATTTTTATGTACATACTGAGTATTGTCTCTTGTATCAATTTAGTTCTTGTAATTCCAATTGCATCAATTTCACCCTTAAATTTTCACGTTATGTTAATTTAGTCAAATTGAAAACTACTTCTAAGATATTAGACATAAATCAAAGGCAAAGCGAATAGACAATTTCAAATTGGACATAGCTCCCGAGAATGAATGAACCATTTAGCACCTCGAGTTCAGTCTACATCAATTGAACTAATAAATTGACACAAAAAAATTTAAAATTGATGTAATTTGAATTACAATAATCAAATTGACGAAGCAAACTATACCTAGGTATAATTTACCCAATATATATATATAGTTGGCAATTCATATACAAAGAGTCGGCATTCACGCATAAGTTGTTCTTGGTGAAAAAGTAAAAATGGAGAAAATGGAGAGGGAAACCTTGTCGATTTGGCCGCCGTTGGGGCGGCGAACCTTCTCCACTTCCCAACCTTCTGGAAGGTGAAACTGTGACGTGGTGATGGCGGTGGTGGTGGTGGTGAAAGGGGGCACAATGGCGAGTTGGCGGTGGAGGGAGGAATCGCAGCCGTGGTGGGCGGAGGATAGCATTCGAAGAGGGACGAGCATTGAAGGTGAGAGGGCGCCATTGTCCTCCATTGTTGAGCTTCGTTTTGTGAGTCGGAAATGGAATACCTGAGACAGTAGTGAGCCAAGTGTAAGGGAAATTCCTGCCGCGTCACCGTTACACCATATTAACACGTGGCATTGGGCAGTTATTTCACTAGATTATTTTAATTTTTGACTATTTTAATAAATTAAAATATTTGTGTTTGAAAAGATGATTAATTTTTTTTAATTACATGTGATATTTGTGAAAAAAAATAAAATAATTATAAATTTGATATAACATTTTATCTTATTAATTATTTTAATTTATTTTATCTTTTTATAAAGTCTCCTTGTAAATTTTAATTCCAATAGCAAAAAATAAAATTTTTGCCAAACAAGGCCATTGATTGCTAGGATCAAATGAATTATCAAATATTTTTATACAAGATGGGTTATCATTATTTTGATACATTTAAAAAAAAAATTATGAAAATTTTAATATACACACCTTTTAAAAGGATGTATTATATTTAGTCATGACAAATTATTTTTCTTTAGTTATGACTCATGATATCTTTAATTATGCCTTATATTATATTTAGTTATGTTTTTTTATTTTTATTTTTATAGTTATGATTTAGAAAATATGAAATTGTGTCATTTTTTTTAGTTATAATGTGCATATGGTATACTTTTTGAGAGGTGTGTGCTATAGTATTTCTCAAAAATTAATGATCAAAATCTTATGTATACAAAAAAAATTTGACAGCATTTATAAAAAAGTTATTTTTATATATAATTATTAAAATTTACTTAAATATACAATAAAGTTTACAACAAAAAAATTATCAAAATAATCTAAAACTCCGGTGTTGAATAAAAAGTGAACAAATTGTTACAAAAGACCCCTTGAACATCACCATTATCACATTTTTAATTACAAAATGCTAATCAAATTTGTATAATTCAACTTATGAACTAAATCATTTTTAATGAATAAAATTGCTAATTCATTTAATTTTTCTTGTAACATAATTGACTGAAGATAATATCTAATAAATTTTAAATTTGAAAAGTTTCTTTTGTCATACATATCTGTAACTTGTATAATTAATTGTATTATATACACAATTTATGTATTTGATAAATAACTCACCATTAATTTCAAATAACTCACAATATCAATCAACTTTCTAATTTTTTACGGTAAATACAATTATTCATTAATTGTAAATAATTTATTACATCAGCCATCTATTAACTTTAAATTTAGGTTTTTTTTTTTTTTTTTTTTTTTAGACTAGTATAATAGCAAAAAAATTCAAGTTTTTATTTTTTATTTTTTTAACTCATTTATTGAAGACCCAAAACACCAAGGATCTTTTAGAGTTTTTTTTTTCCTAAAGTGGTGTGTTATATGGGTGAAATTTAATGCTAAAAAATTGATGTGACTTATCATTAAATCTCAACCATACAATATACCACTCTAAATTTTTTTTTAAAAAAAAAGTCTCTAAGAGATCCTTACTCGATTTTGCCGACTTTGGGCAAAAACCAGCCTGTCTATTGTATAGGGTGTGTGTAGCACACCACATGAGTCTCACACATTATGTGAGTACCGCCTAAAATAATTATAATTCATATGCTTTTTTCTAAATAAAATTTATACATAATGGTATGATTAGATAGATTTGAGCTTATCATTTCAAAAGAAAGACATTTAAAATTCCTTTTAAGTTAAAAAAAAAAAATGACATTGTCATATGATTTTGACATAAAATTATGAGAAAGATTATAGTTCACAACTCCATATTTTTCTGAGTCATAATTAAAAAAAAATTACATAATAAAGCAAAAGAATTTTTAAATTTTCAACATATTTTTATCATATTAGGACATTTGGACGGTTTAGATCTGTTTAAATTATAAAACAATGACTGAGATGTATTTTCTAAAAAATATCCTATGTGTACATTTTCTTCTTTTTCACTTCTCTCTCTTACTTTTTCATTTTCTCACACATCCTTTCATGATTCTATGACTAATTCCATGAATGATTCCATAATCCCACATTCCTTCCTCTTTTCTTTTTATTTTTTTATTTTCCCCATTTTTTATTTGTCTCTCTATTTGTTTTTTGTTTTTCTTCTCCTGTTTGTTCAATTAATTTATTTACATCGTGCCTTCAGGCATGAGTTTACACTAATATATATATATATATATATATATAACCAAACACGCATGAGATATAATTAAAGATCTCGCGAGTCATAATTAAAATATTATCATAACTAAAGAAGAAAATCATAAAACTAAGGGTGTGTATAGTGAAATTTTTCTAAAATTACATAAAAATTATGATAAAACAACATTTTACCTTGGACGAATTTTTTTAATAAGAATAATTAATTAATTTATCTATTTATCTACTATTATTTTAAAAACTTGAAAAGTATATATATATATATATATTAGCTGAATTATATACATATCACATGTATGCTGATTAATTAAAAAAGTAGAATTGGATTGGCAATTGTGGACTCCAAATATCCTTGTTGGATTGGATGCGTTATTTACTGTCCAAGATGAAGAAGAATAAAAATTCTAAAGAAAGCACATAAAGTCTTTCCGTTGGCATGTCACACTTTTTAGTTTTTTTTTTGATTAATTTAGTTACAGAAAAAGAAAATAAATTTTTTAATTTAATAAAACAAAACATTTTATTTAAATCATAAATTTTTTTTTCCACAGAAGTCAAAAAATTAAAAAAACTATCACAAATAAAATTTTTTAATCTCAAATTAAAATAATCAAAAAAATTAAAACATCAAAAAACTAACGCACATCCCAAACCAACCAAAAAATAAAGAACAAAGTTGTCTTTGCAAAGAACGTTTTGCTTGGGAAAGCATCATGGCTGACGACGATTGTATTAGACGTCACAGTTGACGGTTGGAACTATAACTAACTGGGTATTAAAATGTCACATCTTCAGAGGTGGTGGATGTGGAGAACGAGAAAAGCTTTTGGCCTTGCGTGGTTTATTTTTTAGAAAAATTTTTAAGAAACATTTTTTACAAATAAATTTTTAAGAATAATTAAGCTAAATAAATTTTTTCAAAAAATTTTTTAAAATTTTGTTTGGTCTACTTTTCAAAATCATTTTCTCTCGTATATATTAAATCAATCATTTTTTTTTAAACTCTCTCCCCAAATTAATTTTTTAAAATCATTTCTGAAAAATTACAAACCAAATAAGTTTTCATACTTTTTATCTCAAAAACTATTCTACAAATACAAACCAAACACAACATTTATATTTTGTCTAGGTCCTCGCTTGATCAATTGTAGTTTTGGGGATACGTAAGTCACCATATGCGTTATGGCTCTAATTCTAATATACCTACCAATCTTATTTGAAAAGTAATTATTTTATTTTTAAGAATTTTACATTGGTGATGTCTCTAACTAATAACAGGAAACTAATAATTATATGATGTTAAAATAAAAAAATTATAGAGAAATAACATAATCTCATTGGATGCGTATATGGCCACATGATTTTCCTGACTCATAAGATAATTTTTATTTATTTTACATATATACCATCCAACTAAAATGAATAAATAAATTATACTTTTGAGATTTACAAAACATACAATATAATTTTTATAAATTTGACATAAAGAAAGATTGTGTGTATGTAAAAGAATAAACAATGTAATTTATATTTATATGACTAATAAATTACTAATGAAAAGGGTATCAAATATTATGTAAATGAAATATTAAGAAAGTTTATTGAAATTACATTAACTTTTCTTGAAATTTCTTTATAAATAAAGAAAGGTTAATGTAATTTGTTCTAAAAAATGTTAAATTCTGAGCATTTTTATAAATAATAAAAAAAATTAGACAAATGTTGACTAATAATTTCAGGGTTCAATATAATTGTTTTTAAATTTTTAGAGAGGTTCAAAGCAATTTCTTTAAATCTTGAGCATAAATGTTAAATTCTGAGTATTTTTTTAATTTCTTTTCTAAATTTATAATATTACTCATATTTTTTTCACATGAAAATGAATTTCGTCGTAATATATTGGACACCGCTTCGTGCTTCCGATGAACCTTCTCTTACATTTCTAATACTTTATCTGTTGAGTCATAATAATGACTCCTTTTTCTTAACATTAAAAGTAGTCGGTCAACGTTTGTGAGGTGTAACTTTTTTAACCCTAGGATTGGAAGAGATGGTAAGACAACGACTTACGTGATTAAAAGTTTTAGATTTAAAATCTATACCAATCTTTTCATACTCTTTGATTGAAATTAGCTGGTAAAGGGTAGGTTGCTCAACATCTTTCTTGGGTTGACTTGTAAGGCCGGGTCATAAATGGACCTAATCTTGGGATTTTGGTCTAAAATAAAATAAAATAAAAAATAAAAAAATAAAAGATGTAACTTTTTAATAATTTTCGATTATCTTGTCATATTTAGGGTTATTAATGGATTGGATTTAATCCGAATTTGACCCGAGTCCGATCTAAAAATTCGAATCCATTTACAAAAAATTCAATTCGGTAATCTAATAATCTGAATCCGTTTATTAAATAGATCGAATATGTAAAAATCCGATCTGATCTGATAATCCGATCCAATTATTCTCAATTTGAATAAAGAAAACATAAAATGAAACACGCTGTCATCAATTCATTGATGGATAAGACTAACGGTTTTTTAATTAAGCCTATTTCATTTATCATCTTTCATACCATTGGGTTTGCCACTATCATCATCAATAAGTCCATACAAATCTTTATAAAATAATAGATCCTTCATTTTAGTTTTTCAAGTTATTCAATTACTTCCATTGAAGCTAGACATACAACCCACATTTCCCTCTATTGATTTACACAAATAAATAAAGTCAAATAAACCGTTATCTGATACCAGTTGTTAAGAAAAATATATGATTTCCCACAAGTAAATCAATCAATGAAAATAAAAAGTAATGTGAAAAAATTTAATCAACAGCGACACAAAAATTTTACGTGGTTTCTTTAATGTGAGGTACGTCCACGGGATCAAAATTCGATT